GAGGAGACTGAAGGATTCAAGTTTGGTCCATCATTTGCAGTCTTTGAAAGGTATAAAGTATGTACCTTGCTTGCTTGTTTGTTAGATCCCTTTTTGGAGAAGATTTAGGGCTTTTAAGACATATGAGGTGACCAACCATGATTTGCAAACATGATTGGGGATCAAGACTTCAGATCTAGCACTTGGGAAGAGTCACAAGGCAGATTGGAGTTGCTTTTGCACTCAAGGAAGGTCCCATGCATTATAAGAACCAATTTAGGGCCTTTTAGGCTCAAAAGTCCCATGGATGCACGAGTTCGTAACTTTACATGCTAGATCGAGCTTAAGGACTTGCATATATCATTTGGTCAAGTTTTGTACATCAGACATCGAGGATTTAGGGTGTGGACGTTATCGACTCGACGAATCCGTTCTTGGGGCTTGACGAGTCCAAGGCATTAAGTCCCATATCTGTTGAGGGTCAAAAGAACTCAGTTAGGTGTTAAAAGGGTTGTAGCAGGTCAGAAGGAGTGACCCAACGCATTAGACTTAGTTTTAGACCTGGAGTTCATGGCACTCGACGAGTGCTAGAACAGACTCGGCGAGTCCAAGGCAATCTCCTTATGGTTGAAGATGAACTCGAAGAGTTGTTCATACAACTCGGCGAGTCAACGTCAGGACTTGTTCATCAGATGAAGGTGAAATCGACGAGTTGTTCATACAAATCGACGAGTCGGATGGAGGTTCATTCGATGATCCTAATGAAGAAGAACTCGTCGAGCCTTTGCCAAACTCGACGAGTTGAGTCATGGATAAGGACGAGTAAAAGGTTAGGGACTCGACGAGTTGACGACCCATGTAACAACGTGAATTTTCAAACAAAATTTTCATTTCATAAAACATGTTTTCATCTAAATAAAGTCATAAAATCCAATGTATCATAACATAATACAAATCATATAAATCCCAAGATCATAAATAAATCCTCCAATTGTGTGTACAGATTATGTAGGCGCCTTCCCATGGTCCTCGCTAGTACCTGAAACACATAACACAACAACTGTAAGCATAAATTCTCAGTGAGTTCCCCAAAATACTACCTTTGCACATACGCCCTTCTAGGCCATGACCTTCCAGTCCATGTGTCTCAGGGGACATCCGTCCCGACCCGGTAAACCTTCCGGTCCCACCCGTGTCGACCTTACGGTCCACATCTCAATGCCTTCCGACCCATAACATAAATGCCTTCCGGCCCATAACATAATGCCTTCCGGCCCATATCAAGCATAGCATACATAGCACATACAAACGGTTAACTTATTCATATACAATGCATACAACTCATAACATATCCGACCTTCCGGTCACACATAAATACCCTTCCGGGTACAGTATAGTGAGAAGACTCACCTCGCAGGAAGTCTAGAATCTCACGTGCTCGCTATCTCCGAATCTCGAAACGAAGACCCAACCCCGCCTAATCATAACGAAATATCATTCTAATTATATAGGCTTCCAAGACTAGGCTACACCCGTTTCATTATCCTCAGAGGGGTAAAAGACCATTTCACCCCTCTTTGACTCAAAGTCCACATGTTGACCAAAACCTAAAAGTCAACAAAAGTCAACAGACCACAGTATGCGGGGCGTACATCGAAGAACCACAATCGGGGTCTCAACCCCTTACGTTGCGCGTATTGGGAGTTACGCCCAACGTAATTCCCAGATTCAGCCATACCATATTTTTGGTCTAAAATGGTTAAGACACTTGTTCAACTTCTAGATCTGGCTCTCTTTAAGTCTCCTAACCCATAAAGTCGGAACCTTTAAGCCTTGTCATGGCTGTAAAGGCTCCTACACTCTCTAATACCTTTCTTTTAACTCAAAGATCTAGATCTCATGCATGGCTAATCATTTACGTCCAAGATTACATTTTTATGAACATACAACTCAAATAGCATGAATATGATAGATCTAATCCAATGGAGACTACTTGCCCATAAAGTCTCCATCTTTGGGACCAAAACCCTAGAAATTGGTCCAAGAAGCATACCATAAGAACTACAAGGCAAGATCTGAACTTTTTACCTCAAGAAGAAGTTCCAACCTTTGCTATCCAAGGAATCTACACTTGTACACCAACTTCTAGCCTCCACAATGGACTCCTCTTCTGTTTTGCTACCTTGAAATAACACCTCAAAGCTTAGAACACTCACACTCAAGCTATAAATGAAGGAACAACTCTCTTAGGGTTTCTTTCTGAAGGATGGTGGCTGAGGAACCGAGCCATCTCATTCCTTTTATAGCCAACAACCCAAATTAGGGTTTTGGGTATGGACCGGTTACGCCCGGCGTAACCTTGGGTACGCCCAGCGTACCCGGGTGATAACGCGTTTAATGAGGCGCGCGAGTACGCGCAGCGTACTCCATGTACGCCTAGCGTACTCGCCCAACACAAAGGCCAAAAATGATAATTATTTAAAAGGTGAAGGGCTAATTGGTTGCACCTGAATTTCGGGCTGTTACAACCCAACTCGGCGAGTCGGGTCAACTTGAAGTTGACTTTGACTGGACTTGAACTAACCCTGTTTAGGGTTGCACGTTTTTTGTGCTGACTTGAAAGCTGTCGTGTAGGGATCGAGGAGTTCAAGGGAGTCGACTTGTATGCCAGGATAGCTCAAACACTGCACGACATTGAGGTGAGATACCTTCCAGTAGGGGTGGGTCTAAGGCCACAATGCCGACCCACCAAAGAGGGGTATTTAGAAGCTGATTGTCTTTGTGATAATTATCTTGGTCTGTTTATGTGCTTTGGTCATGAGATTTATCTGTATGATATGTTATGTGTATAGTAGGGATTAGTTTCCCTAACAGCGGTCCTTAGGACCGAAGGGTAGGTCAGTACCCGGATATGCCTGACTGTATTTTTATATCTTGTTGTTGTATGCTAGTGGTAGGTGGTGGAATAGTCCCCAGTTAATGGTTGAAACATACCGATGACAGTTACCGATTGAAAGATATCGATGATGATTACCGGTTGAAGATACCGATGATGTTTACCGGTTGGAAGATACCGATGATGATTACCGGTTGAATGATACCGATGGAAGTTACCGGTTGAAAGATACTGACGATATTGTATGGTATGTGGTATGATGGGGGAACTCACTAAGCTTTGCGCTTACGGTTCCAGTTTTGGTTTCAAGTACCTCTTCGTCTAAGGGGAAGGAGCCGGCGGCGTAGCATCACATCACACACACACACACATGATTCCGCATCAGACTTTCTGGGATTGTACTCTGATTTTAATTGTACTAATGATATGGATTTTGAGACATGACTTTACGATTTCCTTTATTGGCAATGTTTTGGTGTTATGACTTATGTTATACTTAATTTAAAATGAAATTTCTGGGCTTAAATTTTGGGATGTTACATTTTGGCCGTAGATGATTAAGCTGGTGAGTGTGTCAGGGTGCGTGTAACGTCCCAAATGTCAGGTAACATTATTATTCCATTTAGATTCATGTTTTAAGGACTACTCGACGAGTTGACGCTGTGACTCGTCGAGTAGCAGCGGGTCAAGACGCGTCATTTAATGAGTGACTCGGCGAGTCGGCTTGGGGACTCGACGAGTAGGAGCTGGCAGAGGAAATCCTAAATTTCAGGGTTTTTTCACTGTATATATTGAACCATTAGCACCTTTCATTGTCCTCTATCACCCTTTGAGAGTCAGAAACCCTAATATCTGTGAGTGTGAGCTTGGAGAGTGTTTTGGAGCTTTAGGAAGTGATTTTTGTGAAGGAAACTTGTAGATCAAGAGGCTAGCATCAAGGATTTTGTGTGGATCTAGAGTCTACTTCAGCTTGGGCACGTTTTGGAGGTAACAAGATTTTACCTTGGCCTCTTTTCTTCTAGAATCTTTCATATGTGAAGATTAGGGCTTTCTTTAGCTATTCATGAAGGGATTATGGTATGGGAGCTAGATATGAAGTTGAAACTTTAGATCTGAACCTCTTTTGAGCCTTAAGTTCATAAAGTTCTTAATAGGGTCATGAAGGAACCCTTGTTTATGAGTAAAGTCCCATTTCAAGCTTACATGTGGAATTTGAGTCATGCAAATATGTAAAGGTAGCAACTTTACGTTGCTAATGCACTCTAGGGACCTACACTACTAGAAAACAGCCCTTTAAGGACACGCAAACAATGACACGCGCTAATAGAGGACACGCATTTGTGCGTGCTCTAAAAAATAATGTTAGCTTTGCAAAATTTGAAGGATAGAGGTCATGCATTTATGCGCGCTCTCAAATTAATGTCCAAAAATAAAATAAAAAAAATACAAACACAGAAGGCGCTTATCTTTAACGTGTGTCATCTACAAGTGCCGCTTTATAATTTTTTTACTGGAATGCACGTTTTTAAAGGGGGAAAATGAAATCCTCTCAAATTCTAAACTTTTGAACTACCCCGCTTCTACACTCTCTTCTCTGTATCTCCCTTCCTTCTCTCTGTAAACCCTAAGTCATCGCCACCACCATTGAACCCTAAGTCTTGCCTTTTACGCTTTCATATCTTTCCTTCCCTAATCGCCTGTATTTAATTCACTATTTTGGCATTTTGGTAAGAGCATAACGATTTCACTATGCCCTTGCTCACTTCTCCTCATTGACAATCTCATGCTCACCTAACATCAAATTCCTTTGTTTCCATCTGTTGCAGAAAATTGAAATACACGCTCACACCGTTTTCGATGCTCAGAAGAGAAAAAGGGCAAGCACCTTGGTCCTTTTTGCACACAATTTTAGGCACTATCAACCCACCATTACTTTCTCTTCCCCTTTACTCATCATCTGAGGTGATTGATGGAAGCAGATATTGGACGCTGACAATAACACCGCTCGCTCATTCTTCAATTTAATCCTTAAATCAACTTCAAATCTAACATTTCCTACCAATTTACAATCGTAATTTCGACGGCAGTGATCAACATCTCTCTTCCGCCGCCATCTTCAGCACCGATGGCACCGTTTGGACTAAGAGCACTTCCTTCCCCCAAGTCTCATGTGAACAGACACAACATCACCAAAATCCGATTGATGGGTTCGATTCGCCTCTTCTGGTTACACAAAGGTATGTTATGCTTACCATCGTTCATCTCCCTATTACCTAATATGCGACTCCCATGAAATCGAGTTGCTCAACAGGATGAAACTCAACATCTCCGATCCCATCTTTATCTGAGTTCGATTATTAAAAGCCAACTATAAACATCGCACCACATGGTCGACAATCGACATACTATCTTTCTCCATGTCGACTCCCTTTCTGTCTCTGTCAAGTTTTAAGGGCGTATAAAAGGGATATCAATATTGATTTTTATTGAACATTCACTTGATTTTTGGAGCTTTTTCACTAAAATATAGGAGAAGATGAATAATCTGTTTCAATTCATTCCCGTTTCCAGCTTCCATTCTCTCTTGCTGACCGAGACATTCAAGTGTATACATATTTACATTACGCGTTCATCAATTGAAACCCTAACCCTAGTTGTTCCTTAGTTATATGCACTGCACTATTTATGTAGTGAATTGACTTATTTTATGTGTCTCTCATCAGGCAATACTTGATGCGTACAAGGATGAAATTGCTAACCCTAAGTACGCATTAAAGTTTGTAGTTTGTTTGCTTTTAGCATCTTCAATTAAAAGTTTTTACATAGAATTCCAGATGCATTTGCAGAAGTTGTCACCTTTAAATTGTTATTTATCAGTTGTCGTGATATTCAACTTTGTTTATGTTCTACAACACTTACTGTTCAGTGTGACTGAACCACAACTTAGGACAAAGCCTTCTAGTGTATCAGATGTAAGTTTACTCGTATCCTTCATCCCTTCTTCATTATTTTAAAAACTCTTTCCATGGAGGATAACTTATTTGCATATTAGCTCTATTGGATTGATATGCTTCTAACTTAAAATATCCGATTATGTTTACTTGTAATTGATTTTTCTTGTATATGATACATGATGCTCCATGCTCCCTTAAACTATTTTGGAATTTGGGTTTCAAATTGAATAGTTTATAATTTAAACATGTACAAATTTGAAGGGTCTATAGGAAAAACATGTTAATGGTAAGTGCATCAAGTTAGGGATAGGCATCTCCAAATCTAATTTTTTCTCCAAATAATCACAAAATCATAATCATAATCAGTTTTTTTAAACACTTTAAACTGATTAGTTTAAACACAAGTGAAATGTAGCTTTGACCTGGAAACAAATTGTTGGTACTTAAAATCAAAATAATTAGTTTAAACCCAGGTTATATAATAGGTAACATTTTGTTTCATTTCTCTATATAGTATATACATAAACACACACTTATATAATTATATGTAAGTTGTAACATATAGTCCCTGAAAGTGAGTTTGTTGATTAACAGACCATCTTTCATCAGTCATCATCTGGTAAGTATCCTATCTTTATTCTTCTGTTTGTCCGTTTCTACATATATAAACTATGATTCTTGAATATTTACATATTTTTTATATATGGAATCTGAAATGTTCAGGGAGTAAATCACACTCCTTTTAGAGCTTGCAAACTAAAGAGGTGTAAAAGGAAATCCATAGTTTTCTACAGGCTGCAAAATGGTATGTACTATGTAGTAGTCCTTTCAATGTGTTACCTTTTTTTTTAAATCTTTTTTTCATTTTTTAACTTTTTCTCTAATCTATGCAGGTTGTGGATGCACCAGAGATTCTGGCAGTGATTGGAAAGATTCCATTTTTATCAGAATTTATGAACTCTCTGTACGAGTGTCAATATGAATCATTCTTCTCTGCTTTTGGTGAATTTATGTTATAACTTTTACATTTTGATGAGGGTTATTTTGGTTGTGGTTTAATTTAATAATGTATAATGATATTTGTTTATTTGCAGCTGGGATCACTGAGCATATTAACTTGGATCGGTATTTGCATCCACACTTTTGTTTTTACATGAGAGAGATCAGGACAGTTGTATATTCTCAGTTCCTGGAATCTTACAAGAGTGTCACCATTGAAGCCATAACAAAGGCATTTAGTGTATAGTAATGGTGACTATTTCATGTTTCTATGGTGAAACACACTTTAAGGTGAGAGTTAAGCCATATGCATTGTACAAATAAGTCAAGATTATTGTAGTGTTTAGTTATGATAACTTGAGGAAAATTTAAGCTTTTGCTCCAAGAACAATGATTGTATTGTGAAGGGCTAAATGCAAGAAATAGCAAAATCTAAGAAATCGTTTTACGCCTATTTTCCGACCAACCAAATCCAATATACTTACTGCAATCATTTTAATCTTTCACTGCAGGGAACTGGTTGCTGCTGTACTTGATATCCTATCTAAAAAACTACAATACAACTCTAGATTAGAGGTTTTTTTTTTCATCTTATCTATAATCCTTATCTCACTCGATTATAATAAAGATTGATTTTGATTGTCATTCAGGGACTAAATAGGGCTATCTAGTTAGTACCAACAAAAAGAGTCTTGATATCATCCAGGTTCTTGGATGAAGAAACCTTGTTGTAGTTTTGTGTCCTTAAGTTTTTTGATACTGAGAATGACCTTACCTATATAGATAAGCTGGAGGTATTTAAATACTTAACTTTTTTTTTTTACCTTGTTTAAGATATTTGAAGGTAATTGCATCAACAAACAAAAGCATTGTTGGAACATAAAGTCAATTATGGAATATGAAGGCACACCTTTGGGCCCACCTGAAGTTGCAGGCAGTTCTCCTGTAATGAAGCAGGTGAAACTAGAGAAAGAAAGTGAACTCAGGATTGAAGTCAATTTTAATAGTTCTCTTCACCTCAGGCTACTCAATGGGACAGCTGAGATATTTGGGACCGAAATGCCCCCAGAAAATTGGCTCATCTTCCCACCAAGAATGAAATTTGATGTAAACTCTTAACAACTTTGAAAAAAAAATCCACTAGGAATATTAAAGATCACTTGAATCTTGTCCTCTTATAATACTTATGTTTCCTTCTTTTTGGAATTTCAGATGAGGTAGGATATTATATCATAGTATCATTGTATATTTGTATTTTACTTGCCTAATGTAAAATGATATTAATTTTTTGTTTTCTATTTTGATATAAAGACACCAATGATCAATTATGTAAACGTGCATGCTATACTTGAAGGTCGTAGAAATCGTGCAAAAGCCTCTCCTAGTGATTCTGAAGCTTCCTAGGTTTCTTTTATCTTTCTTTCTTTATGCTTTCAATTTTTAATAACATTTCCATGACAAAATAATAACTATTTCACCAAATTCTGTTTTTCTTAGGGTCCCAGGGTGATTGTTTTGTAACCCACAGATTCTGGAAAGAGTTCATTGTCTAGAATGCTTCTAAGTTTTTTGACATTGAGAATGACCTAATCAGACGCCAAAGAAAGAATGAAATCGAATTCTCACTTTTTTCTTTCCACTCCTCCGCTCGTACACAAGGAACATAATTCCAACACAACGCCATATCAGAGCGATGATGTAGTCTCGCATCCAACCGACACAAGCTTCCTTTAAAGGTATTTCGTTTTTGTCACACCCCGAAAACCAAAGGCGGAAACGTCTCCGGGGTTGACTACCACGTTGTGTATCAAATCCATGTACATAGTAATCACAGTAAACAAACATTACATTACATATATATGAAAGTTTAAATTTGTTTCAAAATTAAAGTTATACAAGATATACATATGCATCATATAAACAAAAGTTGAGACGAGTCTTCTACGCACTCCGTCTTCGCCAAAAGAGATCACCGGGTACCTGTCTAACTTGGACCTGAGAATACAAGCGGTTTGAAAATCAGCATAAAGCTGGTGAGTTCATAAGCGGTTTTGTTTTATGAAAATGTATCGGTTTCCTTTAGTTTCCGAAAAGATTTGTTATCCAAGAAAATCCCATATTTTCTTATGTGAAGTTGGTTAAGTTATCATTGGTTACCAATTCGATTATGTATTGTATTTTACCCCAGGAAAATCCCATATTTTCCTAATTGTAAGATCGGTTGTATATCACAAAGTATAGTTTAACACACAAAACTATATAATGAAAATCTTGGGATTACTATCCCGAAAGACATATAAGATAGTTTGACACATCTGAAAGTACAGGTTTAAGATCATGGGACTATCATCCTGGACTAAACACGAGATAAGTTGATGTATATATGTAAAATGTAGATTGAAACCATGGGATCACTATCCCGAATAAGATACAGATTTGGAAAACCATGGGATCACTATCTCGTATAATATATAGAAACAAAACCTTAGGATCATTATCCCGTATAAGATATAGATTTAGAAGACCATGGGATCACTATCCCGTATGAGTTATAGATACAAGACCATGGGATCACTATCCCGTATAAGATATAGATTTAGAAAACCATGGGATCACTATCCCATATAAGATATAGTTAAAGACCATGGGGAAAGACATCCCGTACAAGTTATAGGCATAAAACCATGGGATCACTATCCCGAACTAGATACAAAATAGTTTGGCTAATACCATGGGATCACTATCCCGAAAGAGATATAGGAATAAACCATGGGATCACTATCCCGTATAGGACATCGATATAAAATATTTTGATAATACCATGGGATCACTATCCCGAAAGAGATCTAGAAACAATATCATGGGATCATAATCCCGAAAGAGATATAAAATATAGATGCAAAACCATGGGATCACTATCCCGAACGAGATAAAGTTTCTGAACCCAAACTGTGAATAAGCTGGTGTTAATACATATTGTGAGTCGGGTAACCATACTAATACGACAACGTGACCTCCTTGACGTTTGTCAGACGTCGAACGATATCCAGAAATTTGTCAACCCAGGCGTGCCCGCCTAACTGTAGCTAGCAGTTAAGGTGTGGGATTGTCAGTCCCGAATAGATCTATTCACAAATTCCGCGCTCTCCCTCCAGGAGACTCTGGTTACACTTCCGGGGAGGATTTACTGATCATCCATAAAGGGTAGTGACTATCTCATAAACTAGTACTAAACTATTCACAGGGTTCTTGTAAGATATCGATATACAAAAGATTATGAAACGTAGTACAGTAAAGTATAGATACATACATGAAATTATCTGACAATACATTAAAATGATACGGAGATAAACTGAATCAGACATAGTTTATCTAATAACTTGATATAGACATCAGTATACGATAGAAAGAATAGTAAAGACCCCCAAATTATTCCCATAATAATTTGATTAGTTTGATTGTTTCCTTAACTAAAATCCATTTAGTTGAAATCGAATAGTCATTCCTTATGCTCAGCATAATACATAAGGAGTAAAAGAGTTTATAGGTTTGTCAGATATTGTTTGAAACACATCAATGTTGTAATTGGAAAACAGTTATAGTTTGCTTGTATTCCCCCCTGAAAACATTGAAAACAGTGAAAAAGCCGTAGGGGTATGAACTCACCGGACGAGATATGAGACGGTTTGGATGCTAAGAGCTGAGCCGGGACTTGTAAACACACGAGGTTCCTAATTATGATGTAAAGATACACATTTGTATCTAATTAGGACTTAGATTGATTGTTGGATAGGGACAATGTTTCATGTCGCGGTAACACTCCGATACAAGTGTTTGGTGGGACCCGGGTGGCGTTTATGGACATGAATGATACAAGGGACTTGGGAAATGAGTTGGGACATCAAAGGAACACTCCCCTTATGGGAGTTTACGGCCAAAACACCCATCCCCATGAGTTTACGGCCGTAAACTCATGATGGGTGGTTTATGGTGCAATTTGGACTTCCAACACTTAGGGGATAATTTCTAGACTTGGTTTAAGGACTTGGAATGATTACAAAACATCAATTAGACCCCCTTTATGGGAGTTTACGGCCTAGCATGGATCCAAGGCCGTAAACCCCTATTTACCCAAGAAAATTGTAACAACGCAAATTTTCAAACAAAATTTTCATTTAAAATAAGTGAATTATTTCAACCAAATATAATTATTCCAAATTTCATATCAAAATACAATCATAAAATCCCCAAGATCTCAAAACATCAACAGTGTGTACGCGTCATGCCGGCGCCTTCCCACGGTCCTCGCTAGTACCTGAAACACATACATAACAACTGTAAGCATAAATGCTTAGTGAGTTCCCCAGTATACTACTTACGCATATACGCCTTTCCAGGCTCTGACCTTCCGGCCCTTGAGATAATCGCCTTCCGGCCCATAACATATTGCTTTCCGGCCCATAACATATTGCCTTCCGGCCCATAACATATTGCCTTCCGGCCCATAACATATTGCCTTCCGGCCTGTAACATATTCGCCTTCCGGCCCATAAACATACATAGCAATTAATACATTTATCCTAACACATATAGCACATATATCATATATCATATCCGACCTTTCAGTCACATAACATATTGCCTTCCGGCCCGTATAAACATACATAGCACGCATAGCAAATACCTTACCATTTATAGCACGTATAACACAAATCATATCCGACCTTCCGGTCACACAGTCAAACCCTTCCGGGTACAGTATAGTGAGAAGACTCACCTCGCTGGTAATGAAAGCTAGCGACTCCTGAAATCACTCGCACTCGATCCGCCGAGCTACAGACTCCCTATAATATCATATATCCCTTATTAATACTTTTATCTTTCAAGACAACTGACCCTAAGAAATTACATGTAGGTCAACTCTGGTCAACGGTCAACGGTCAACTTGACCGGACTCGGCGAGTGCAAAGGCGACTCGGCGAGTCTAGACGTCCTCCCCAATTCCCTGATGTTCCCTTTCTACTCGTCGAGTATCCCTCTTGGCTCGACGAGATCCTCGTGGAAGAATCGCGGGGCCACCCCGACTCCACTCGCCGAGTCTGAAGAACAGCTCGACGAGTCCCAGTCAATCTCCAAGCTACTCGCCGAGTCTGTTCATTGGACTCGGCGAGTCCACGCCATGCAGTCGATCAAACTGCTTCCTGAGATAAGTATTGTCCCGAAATACACAGCATGGGACCTTCTGGACCTCTAAAGGTCCTAATACATGGTTATAGTCGTTTGGGTAACAAGGTAACAATCAATCTAATCACCAAAAGGGTTCCATAAACCCTAAATCCATGCACACATCAACATAGCAGAAATGATCCGAAATATTACCTGAATAATGCACTCTCTGTGTCCCCAATCCTCAGAACTCGATTCCCTTGCTGTTCCTTTAGCCAAAACTCCTCTCCTCCTTGCACAACAATTTCTTCAAGGTCACCAATGGCCTTCAATCTTGCTCTAGATGCCCACAACCGATTAGGGTTCTTCTCAGTCGACTAAAGACGGACAATGACGGCCTATAAGTGCATTATATACGTTCCAAAACCAAACGGCTAGGGTTTCCGCTGAACAGCGCAGACTCGCCGAGTCCATAATGGACTCGTCGAGTCCAGTCGCGAACCCGCGACCCAGTCTGTGGTCCTACTCGGCGAGTCTGGCTCCAACTCGCCGAGTCCCCTCCTAAAACACCCCAAAAACAATATTATAAAAATACCTGAAATTCCGGGCTGTTACAACTCTCCCCCACTAGGACTAGACTTCGCCCTCGAAGTCTCACTCTGCAAATAACTCCGGATGTTGCTCCCGCATCTCACGCTCCGGCTCCCAAGTCATCTCCGATCCTTTCCGGTGTTGCCACTGAACCAACACCAGAGGTACCTCCTTGTTCCTCAGAACCTTGATCTTCCGATCTCTGATGGCTACTGGTCTCTCGGCGTAATTCAGGCTCGCATCCACCTGAATATCCTCTAATGGAACCACTGCCGATTCATCGGCTATACACTTCCTCAACTGTGATACGTGAAAGGTATTGTGAATCTGTCCCAACTCTGCTGGCAACTCCAACCGATAAG